ATTATTTTGTAAAATCTTTCACATACGAATTGTAGACTAATTTTATTTTGAATAATAATAATAACAACAACAATAATAATTATTATTAATTATTATTATTATTATAGAAACGACAACAATAGCAATAGCGTTGACAATAACGAAACAGAAACATGAAAAATAACGATAAAAATGGACATAATCAGAAGGAACATTTATTCATTTAGTTACTCATTTATTTATTATTTACAAATAATTTTTAAAATATAATAAAATAAAAATAAGAAAAAATATGTATCAAATATATAAATAAAGCGTAGATAAACTAAAACAGAAAGAAAGAAACAGGAGAAACAAAATATGACTACCCATAAACGTTTTAAAAAAAACATTTTGGCTACCCATAAAAAAATTATCTCTTTGAAATTAGTTAAATGTAGTGTGGGGTATCCTGGCCAGTTAGCAGACGATAAATCGACGTCTGCATCGTCTTCATATGAATCTGGGGTGAGAATGTTGAAAAAATATTACCATCAGTCAACTTTATGGTCTATAGCTAGCATATCTTAGAGTGTAATAAGCAAGTATTCAATGGCAAGGCAGAGTTGACCCAACCAGGTGAACTCTGACCCCAATGCCACCTGACAAACTAGTTAATGGGGAAAAGTTCTCACCTCTCCCACGGAAGAAGCCAGCATGGAAACAATTTTATCGTGCGGTACGGCAACGACACTCTGCCCATTGATCTCGATGATCCTGTGGCCCACCCGCACACCCCCCCTCTCTGCTATGCCCCCTCTTAGCAGGCTGCAGATCTGGTTATTTATTATGATCATAATAAATATTATTATTGTTATTATGATGATTTTCGAATGTAATAACAACAATAACACAAACAACAACAACAATAATAATAATACTAACAACGCCATTTTGAACACTGAAGCCCAGCTGGTACTTGATATCAGGCCTCTTCACAAGGACCTCAACAACAGGTGTGCAGGAAACCACCATGAATCTGCCCAGGATGTCGTTTCTCAACGCCTAAGTGTGTACGTGTATGTATGTGAGTGTAAGTGAGTGTGTGTGTGTGTGGGTGTGTGTGCGGCCAACAACCAACCTTCAAATGGGCCTGACAGGTAGACAGAGGAAGCCCCACAAGACTGATCCCATTTACGGAGATGATTTGGTCCCCGATGTTTAGTTGCCCGCACCTGGCAGCTGCCCCTCCTGGCGCCATGTTGGCCAGAACCACAGTAGGTACCATGCTACCCCACCCAGACTCAACTATAACCATTCCCAGTAGTTCGCCTTTTCCCTTTGGTACTAGAACCTGGATCGTGTGAATGCGTGTTGTTTGTGTGTGTGTTGTTGTTTGAGTGTGTTGTTTGTGTGTTGTTGTTTGTGTGTTGTTGTTTGTGTGTGTGCTGTTTATTTGTGTGTGTGCGTGTTGTTTGTGGGAAAGTGTGGAGTTGTTGTAGACGCTATATGAATCAGTAAAACAACAGGGCAAGCAACAACAAAACCGAGGCAACTACACACAACCTCTTTTTGCATGTCCCTGTTTGAAAACAGAAAGAGTTCCTCTCCAAATATCTCCTGCTGACTGAGAACATCCTGATAATCCATTTCCTTTATGATGTCCGGATCGTTGATCCCGTTCGCTTTTAAAAATTCTATGTAGGCCACCTGAAACGCCTGACTGATCGACTGAGCTATTAGTTGAGCCTTTTTACGGGAAATAAAAACTTTTCGTTAGTAGAGAAAGTAATTGATTCTAAATTTTAACAGCGCTTCATTTGCAATTATATGATAGTATTTATCAAATCAAATACAAATTTATTAATTTTTTTAAATCTTGAAAAACAACCAAAAAACCTCATCAGACTCAAAAACGTGGCAGCATATCTTGGCCTGATTGTGATTGGCCAGTGAAGATGATTGTTGCTGACCCGCTTCACCGCCATTGGCTGCCACGGCTGAGGACGATGAGATCTGATTGGACGGACTATTATTATTGTTCATTGGACCCCTCCTAGCCATGACGACCAGCACATCCCCGATGTCTGCAATGTAGGAGATTGTCCTCAGCGCATGGTCCATCATTATCTCCTAGTGTATAGAGGATTTTCATCGCTATTACTATTACATTGAATAATAAAAACACCATCGTGACAACCTACCTGTAGGTCGGTGTTGAGCACCATGATCTTCTCGACGGAGACAAACAGATCGACCAAGGTACTCGGTCTGGGGTTGCCTTTCAGTGTTGGGTCCTTCCACATAATCATCATCATTATTATTATTATTATCGCTTCATTATCATAACTATTGATATTATTATTACTAAAATTCACTCTTACCCGTTGATCTACAATCAAATTTAAATTAGTTTTCACTTTCTAAGACAAGGATATTAAAATCAGAGAAGAAGCGTCATAAAACTTTAAAAGATGAATGGTCTACAAACGAAAATTTAAATATCAATCAATCAAACAAAAGTTTACTTTTATTCTATTGATGGCTTCCTGAGCCTGCATAAGTCTGGTGGCCTTGGAAGGCTGTCCCTCAGAGATGAGCTGGGTGGAGCCCAGATACTGGGCCCTGAACAGAACACCCTCTATCAGAACTGTGGTGAGAATCAGTCGGTCGGTCATCAGTCGATCGGTTAGTCAACCAATTAAAATCAATCATTCATCTACTCAAACATTTGTTCAGTCGGTCATTTCATCTGTTAAAAGTATTTTAAGTAGTGCACTCAAATCTGGCACTCAAATCCACCCATAATCATTGAGTTCATTCAACTTAATAACTATAACTTACGATACTTAAGATTTAACTTAAAATACAAACTTTGACAAACCGTTAAGAAGATACTGTATGAAAATTCATAAAAATAAGTTTCGAAATCGAAACTGAATCTTCGGTCAATCTCTAAATAATATGTAAACTAACAAGATTCTCTTTCCCCATCGTTGCTGTTAGCATTTTTTGGTTTCTGCTTCTCGTCCTAACAATTATCCGTGAAATTGAATACAAAATTAAAATTTAAATAAAAAAACTATATTATTTATTGAATTATAACAATCATTCTTAATATTTCAATCAAATTTAAATGAATTTATTTGCAACAATTTTAATAAGCAAATACATTTTTAGCAGCAGTTGCAGTGGCTGTTGCTGGCGCTGCGATTGAGGCTGATGCTGAAGTTGTTGCAGTTGTTGAAGTCATTGATGAGGCCGATCCAGAAATTGATGTCGTCGTACTAGTTGATGAAATTGTTGTAGTTGTTTTGTCTTGCAATTTATTATCCAAGCATGCGCTCCTGCTATTGTGGTTGTTGACCCTTTTATTAGCAGCAACAACATTTTTATCAGCAGCTGCTGATGATGTTGTTGTCGTCGTCAAGGTTGATGATGACGACGACGACGATGATTGCAATGGTTTATTTACTGTTTCATTATTATTATTATTAGTAGTAGTAGTAGTGGTGGTGGTAGAAGCAGTTGAATTAGTAGTAGTAGTGGTAGTAAGAGAAGTAGCTGAAGTATTAGTAGCGGCAGTTGTAGCAGCACCAGTATTATATTTCTTAGCAGGCTCAATACTGATAGCTTTTTCTTCGACTAAGTTGGTGTTGTTTAGTTTGCTATTGTTGGTGTTTTTGTTGCTAACTTGTTTAGTGTTGTTGTTCGATCTATCTCTCAGTTTTTTCTGACTATTATTATTATTATTATTATTGCTATTAGTATCAATAGCTGAATCGTCAATATCAACGTTATTACTACTAACGCTATTGTTGTTGTTGATGTTTTTGCTGTTGATGTTCGATTGTTTGTTTGAAACATTGTTGTTGTTGCTGTTGTTGTTTTCAAGCGTCGGTCGGATATTGTTATCAGAGTTACTATTAGATTTGAAATCAGAACTCGATTGGATGTTGTGGTGTTTGAGATTGTTGTTATTATTATGAATATTATTATTATTGTTGTTATTTTTGGTCGAAGATTGAAACTTTGCAATCTCCAGCAACCTTTTCTTCTCAATCAGATCTTGGTCAATATGCTTCGAATCTTGAGAAACAAAATACTTATTCATTACGAATTTTCATATTATACGGAGTTAATTAAAACCATCATAACCAGTATCGCAGTCAGATAAAACGTTTCAAGTTTCAAAGAAAGTCCGTGGGGCAAAATGAAACTTGAAAGCAAAAATATTGAAACTTGAAGCCAACTGTTCGAAGAGTCCACGAAATAAAACTCTAAAGCAATGGCTCGCAGAGCCCGTGGAACAAAGCCTCTAGACGAGCATCGGACTCGCTTTCACGTTAAGTTTTCATATTTATATCAGTGGAAAACACATTTAAAAAACGAATTAACCAATGAATAAGAAAATGAATAAATACTTGTTGAAACACACTCGGGCTCCTCTCACTGAGACTTAAACTAAAAAATAAAAACAAAAGACAGAACAAAAAACAAATGATAATAATTAAAACCAAATTAATCAAAATTTAACCAAAAAAAAAGGAACGCGTACGTGTATAACGAAAAATTAAAAAACAAATCATTACACACAGACACTCACAGGCATATATGCACACATACACACACGCGCGCATATATATATATATATATATATATATATACCAGCTCTAGTCTTTGAGCCAGAACTGCTTGAATTATGGCTGGTTGATCTCCTGAAAAAAAATTTTTATTTATATAATATAATAATACCAACAAAAACACGAATAATGACATTATTATTAATAATAATAATCAATCAATCAATCAATCTTCGTTTTGCGTCCAGAGACACGGTTCCCCGAGGTAGGACGTAATAATAATAATGATAGATATTTACTTGTTACTCAAATCAATCGTATCATTTGATTCACTTGTCTTTTCACTTGGAAATAATTTTGAAGAATCTCTGCTCTTATTATTATTATTGTTGTTATTATTTTTTGCATTATTTGTACTGCCTTTAACATCATTTGATGCATATTTTATTTGGCCATTATTATTATTATTACTACTATTATTATTGATATTATTATTGCATTTGGCTTGCATAGAGTTTGTATTTTTATTAACATTATTTTTATTACTCAAAACTTTAGTATTATTACCACAAATATTTTTATTATTATTATTATCATTTTTATTAATATTAACATTATTATTATTCATTTTATTCGATTTCGCATTTGTCACTATCGGCGTTGCTGATGCTACAGATCTCTTTACATTTGCCAGTGAATTGTTATTATTTTTGTTGTTAGTATTGTTGATATCATTATTATTATTGTTGTTGTTATTATTATTACCGCGGACATCATTAGCGCTGTTGGTGAAAGTTGGGAGGGGTAATAATTTTTCGTCGTGTTTGTTCACGTTCTTGCAGCCATTTTGAGCCTGCTTAATTTCAGGGATTTGGTGATGATTCAGGGATGTGTTCAGCGATATCGACTTCTTCATTTTATTGGCTGAACTAGCTAGGTGGTTAGCTGAATCCACCATTCTGGAAAATTCTTTCAAAATTTTCGGCTTATTTTTTTTATTACTATTGTGTTTATTCACCTTCTTTTTCCTAGTCCTCTTGACGAAATCACCTTTATCATCATCGTCGTCGTCGTCACCATCATCATCGTCGTCATTGTTGTTAGTGTTGTTGTTGTTGTTGCCAAGGTGAACTTCATCACTGTTACAAAACATACCACCACCGACCTCACTCTTATTTCTTCTTTTGGTCAGGACATCATTTACACGGCCATCTCCACGCTCATCGTCTTTATTATTCTCATCATCAGAGGATAACCCGTCTTCAACAGCCGGCATCAAATTAGGCGAATTCTTCTCCCCAGTAGCGTTATCATCACCACCTCCGTTATTATTATTATTGTTGTTGTTATTACCAATCACGTGATCATCGGAAATTATGCTGCAGGCGTCTGCACTATCGCAATCTGTGATTTCAGGGGAGAGAGAGAAGGTCTTTTCGACATCCCTTATCATCATCATCATCATCATGGCCGAAGATAACGACGATGATGATTGTAGTTGTTGCTGCTGCTGTTGCTGCTGTCGTTGTTTTGTTTGTTGTAGTTGCTTGTTGCGGTTGTTGTCGCGCGGCTCGCTATCCGACAGGCACTCTCCATCACTCTTTAAAAATGGGTTCTTGGAGGATTTAATCAAATTATCAGTGAACATTTGGCCGGTGTTGTCCCCTTTATTATTATTATTCTTATTATTATTACTACTACTAATGTTGATTTTATTATTATTCTTACTATGTTTTGGATTTCTTCTATAGGATGATGACGACGATGATAAACAATGTTCGCCATCAACATTGATAATATCATCATCATCATCATCGTCTACTGCATCATCATCATTTTTAGATACATTACCAACACTATCATCATCATCATCAATCACGGCCTTACACCCACCATCCTCATTATTAACGTCACTTTTAAATTTAACATCATCGTCGTCATCGTCGTCGTCATCAAATTTGACCGTCATTCTCAACTCAGCTAGTAACTCATCAATAACAGAAAGTTCAATATTATTATTATTATTACCATTATTATTATTATTATTATTATTATTATTATTACTAATATTATTATTATTATCCAGCCGTGGTGATAATGATGATGTGCCGGGGTTGCTTCTTTTGTGGTTGTCGCTGATAAATTCATAAATATTATCGTTATCGTATTTGCCATGATCATCTGACGTTCTATCAGCACTTACGAGTTTCTTTGCATTAGTCATAGTGCAAGTACTGTTATTAGTAGTATTAGTAGTAGTATTAGTAGCAGTAGTATTAGTAGTAGTATTAGTAGCAGTAGTATTAGTAGTAATTGTTGTTTTTGACACTCTTTCGTCATCATCATCATCGTCATCGTTAGCATCATTTGCAAATGGATTTGTGTTGAAAGATTTAGATCTAGAAATGTTAACATTTCCCCCACCATCATCATCATCATCATCATTATTATTATTACTAGTATTGCTACTATCCTTACAACAGTTATTGTTAGCAAATCTATTGTAAGCACATTCGTTATTAGCATCAGCGTCATCACCATTAATGCTGTTCTTATCATTGCTACCGTCACTACTATTAATATTATTATCGTTTTTATCAGTGTTATTATTATTATTGTTGTTGTCATTATTATTATTGGTTGGGGTGTGGTCATTGATGAGGTCAACGGCGACCGAGCCGTATAGGATCGTCCTAATCTCATTCAGGCTGGACTCAATGTCCTCACTCCTGAAATCAATGATTTTTTTGCTCTGCTGGGAAAATTTATTATTATTATTATTGTTGTTGTTATTATCACTTTCATTATTACTATTATTATTAATTTTATTATCATTGTTATCTCTAGAGCTGGCATTAATCCCAACTAAATACTTGTCCAATTTTTTAAAATCATCATCATCGTCGTCGTCGTCGACTACGTCATCATCATCATCATCATTATCAACATCATCGTTCTTATTATTATTATCGTCATCATTATCAGCACCGCCGCTAACGCTATCATCATCATCATCATCTCTGCCATAATCATCATCAACCCCGCCACCATCATCATCATCATAATCATTATTAATTGTAAGGTTTATGATTTTCTTATCAAAACTGCTAGCATTCTTCGACTTGGTGATACTGGCGTGATTAAATTTACCATTCTTTTTATCAGCACCATCACCACCATCATCATCATCTTTATTATTCCTGCTATCATTATTTTTAACAGTTTTATCTTTATCATCTTTTCCAATATCATTATTACCCCTTTTGGGTGACTGAATTCTACAGTAGTAGTCGTCCTTATCGTCATTGTCATCATCATAATCAGCACCGCGACTAACTTTATTATTTTTCTTATGATTAATATTATTATTATTATTGTCAATTTTGTTGTTGTTATCATTATCATCAACTCTCTTGGCTAAGCCAGGGGATGGTTTTAATTGCTGTTTGACATGTTTAATGATGTTGTTGTTTGTGTTGTTGTTACTACTACTACTAACCCTACTACTGCTATTATTATTATTAATTTTTAGTTCTTTGTTTTGGGGTCTTTCATCAAGTTTGTTGTTGTCTTTGTCATTGTTGGTGTTTGTATTAAGGTCCTCAAATTTTTTATTAATTTTCAACTCCTCAACATCACTGACACTAATGTTATTTTTACTGTCTGAAGCTTTTAGATTATTGTTAATGTTTTTGTTGACGTTTTTGTCATTCAACTCACCTAACGACTCGACTTTATGCAACTTAAATGTATCTTTGACCCTAATTGGATTTCCGTCGTCATCAAATCCCTTGGTTCGATTGCAATAAAACTCCAATGTTACTTTGGGTCCTTTGAGCTGTGAGGTCAGTACTTTACTGCCACTACTGCCACCTACAAATCCATTTATCAGTAGATTCATTTTACTTTCGCTATCTATGTTTGAGATTCTTTGGTCTTTGATTAAATCTTTTTCTGTGAAAATTTCGTTCAGTTCTATCGCTCGTTCGTCAGTGTCAAATCTGTGTGTCAGGTTGACGGCTGGTTCTATTTTTAAATTGTGATTGGACCCCAGACTGTTGTTGAGGTTGACCATTTTGTTATTTTGATTGGTTCTGTGTGAGTCTGATTTTAATTGTCTGGAATCTAGCGGCTTATTTTTGTTGAGATGCATAAATTTTGTTATATCATGATCAGCAATGGTTTGCTCAATATTTGATTTCATGTCAACATCAACACATTCATCTCTTTCATTATTTTTATTAGCAGACAAATTTTTTTCAGTAACACTTCTGATAACACCATCTATGTCTTCATAGTCATCATCAATGTCATCGTCGTCGTCGTCGTCATCATCGAGATCATTATCAAGATAACCATCATTATCATTATTTTCAGCATCATTTTCACTTTTGTATGAACTTGCACTTTCTATTGCATTGTCTTGGGAAGAGTTTATTTCATTATCTATGCTCTCATTATCATCCATCATATGAAAATTGTTAGAAACACTGCTAATATCACTCAGATGACATGAATTGTTATCACTTAGGTTGACATCTAGACTTCCGGTTTCATCTAAAAATCTGCTGAGAAAAAAAAATCAAAAATTAGATTGGATGATACAAGTTTACAAAATTTAAAGTAGAAATGATTTCAATTATATATCATCACATATTATAAAAACAAAAATACTATCAGTATTTATTCACTTTCAAATATAATGAAATTGTTGAAAAATTGTGATAATTTAATCTTTAATGAAATTTACTTATAAATTATAATAGCTTTCACCAAAATTGTATTATAAGGTTTAAAAATAATAAGTTAATTTCAATTTGTTTCTTTATATTTTATAATATTTACCTTTCAAAGTATAAAATTTGATAATTAAAAATTGACTTAAAAAATACAAAAACACCTCCTCAGTCTGCTATAGCTACTTGACTGATTTAAAGTGGCCAGAAAATCGCCTAAATAAGAAAAATTGTGGTTAGGATTGACAGAAGTATTAGCAGCGGCCATCAAATTAGAATTGTTGGGAGGTCCATCAACTGTTGATTCAACTTTTGTTGCACATTCATTTACGCTTCTCTTTTTATCAGACGAATTTGTGTCAGTTAAAAATGGATTATCCATATTTTAACTTGTTTTTTTGGATTTTTGTTTTTCAAAAATAGTGCCTGATAAGAACGCGATTCAGTAAAATTACATCGTGACAATGAATAAATAAAAATGCAAAATTATACGGTTCGTCTAATGGATGAATCATTTTTGTCTGCAAATAGGCATGGACTTTAAACAAAAAGAATGGTTCGCCGATGTCACAAGAATATAGCTAGCAAACATTCATTTTATAAAGTACTTTGTTATTTTGCTTAAAATTAATGTTCATTAGAGAAAAAACTTTTAAAAGTCTAATTAAACTAAGGGCCAACCATTTTCAATGGTCAATCGTCCTCTAAATTGAGGACTAAAAGAAGGACCAACCGTCTTTAGTTTAGAAAAGAGTCATAGGCCCATTACCCTCTTCCCATGGAATTATATAACTCAATTATATAATTCAATGCCTCTTCCTAGGTTCAGAGAAATCAACAGCACACAAACATCGTAAATTCAATTCAATCAATTCATGGGAAACGAGAACGACACATTACACGTGAAGCATGTTATGTGCGGGGGATCTATTTGTCATATTCGAAGCCGTCACCGCACAGCACCCGCTGCGAAACAGCACCAGGCAACCTTACCTAGGCCGCAGGGGGCAATCATCTAATTCAACTGAGGACCAACCGTCTTTAGAGGGCAATCGTCTAACTTAACTAAAGACCAGCGTCCAACTAAATAGAAATAATAAAACGTTCAGCTAAATAGAGACCAACGATCCAAATTAGACTGAAAAATACAACAGATTTTTCTTTACGTTACAATATTGATAAACGAAGATTTAACAAGTAGATCGACCCAATCTAATGCACGTATGTAAGCAAAAAAATTTAGCTAAGATTCTCTGCATATGTACGCTTTATTTTTCTCTATTTAACTTTACAATTTTTGTAATTAACTTATTTAATTATTTTATTTAATTATTTTATTTAAATTTTATATTTTGAAACACTGAAGTCCGATTCATAAATTTTTAAAACTATGGGAAACACTGATGCAAAATTAAATTTCCGAAAATCTGTGGTCCAGCTGACAACTCGTACCCAGGTAAGTCCGGAAATTAAAATCACTGATCAGTGCAATTCAGAATTGTTTTTATTGTTAACTTTGTACTATTTTTAGACCAATGGCTTGAGTTGTCAATTGAATTGTCAAGAAGAAAAACACTGATTTTAATTAATTTTCTTAGCTTTTCTTTTAGTCTTTTAGAAGTTTTAGCCTCTCATAATAAATTGTCTGATCATTAATTAATTAATTAACTCTGTCTTGTCAGGAACTAACTAATTAAAAATGTAAAATTTAGCCTGTAGATGCAAATGATGAAGCTTTTTGGAGTCAGTTTTGGTCTGAATCAGCAACATGCATTCAAGATGTTTTCACTCTGATCCCAGCTGCTGGTTAGAAATTGAGAAAAATGGAAAATCAAATTTGGTTTAAATATTAAAAATTAAATAATTTAAATTAAATTAAAATGGACTTAATCTTTTTTCTAACCATCCATTTTCCTGAAATTAGGGCTCTGAGAGAAGAGTCCCCATCTAAACCTGCCAAAACTTGTTACCAAGGCTGTTGAAAAATTAGTGCAAGTGGAGATTCGGGGGTGTAATCTGGTGAGGGACGACAAGATGGGTGGGTTTTGGGAATTTTTTGTATTTAAAACTTTTTTATAATCTAAAATTTTCTGTTTTCTGATATTATTTAGCTTGTTTTTAGTTAAATAAATATAATATCATGAAATTTAAAATTATAATTATTCATAATTGTTTATTTATGTGACTGTTTATTTATTTATTGATTTATTTATTTATTTATTATAGTTCAGAACTGCATAAGACTTTTGATAAGAATTCTTCCATACATATTTGAAGACCCTGACTGGAGAGGATTTTTTTGGAGCACACTTCCCGGACACAAGCGAGATGATGCCAACGAAGTATAAACACACACGCACACACGCGCGCACACACACACGCACATTCATGCATTGGCTGCTATATTGTTGTGATATTTGTCATTTTCTCATCTTCCCTTACTTTTTAATAATTCAAAATCAACAAAATATGTGTGCATTGGTGTGTATGTGACTGTGTGGTTACTCTGTCTTTCTCTGTGTTGTGTATATTTGAATAGCAATAATAGCTATAGTTATAGTAATAATATAATTATTAATAGAAATATCAAGAATATAAATTATAGGAATGGTAAATTTTTGTTCATTCCCATGTAGCCAGACAACAGTGTGCCACTGGCCCAATCTCTCATCACATCTCTCTGTGTTTGTATGCCTGCTATGTTCAAATATAATTATAATAATTATTATTTATTATTTTATTATAATTATTGTTATAATAATTATTGTTATTATTATTATTATTATTGATAAAAAAAAATTGCTACAGGATTTGCTCTTCTGTCCAGACTTTACTGTATCTCCAAACAAAAAATCAGGACCTGTTAGTCTATTATTATTATTGTTGCTGTTATTGTTGTCGTTGTTGTTGTTGTTGTTGTTGTCGTTGTTGTTATGGTCGTTGTTGTTGTTGTTCTTATTTTTGTTTATTGATTTTTTGTGTGGGTTGTTGTTAATCAATGGAGACCATTTGTTTTAATGCCTTCATTTCTTTGTAACACTTACATTTATTGTTGTTGTTGTATCTTAATAAGTTCATTCATTCATTAATTCATTCGTTCACTCATTTTTTTTTTTATTAATCAATCAGTCTATCACCAATTAAATGATAATTCACCTCTGGTGCATTAATTTATTTTAACATTTCACCATAATTCATTATAATTTCATCATCATTCACTAAAAACTGACTGCTGGTGCATTATTTTTTATAGATCTGTTGATAATCTGTCACTAATTCACCACTAATTCATCACTAATTCACCACCGATGCCTCAATCTACCGCAAGGACAACCCTGAAGACATGTCGATGATTGACAGCTGCGAGTATATTTGGGCGGCTGGTGTCGGCTTCACCCACAACCACCCTGCCACAGCCACCTACGAACAAAACAGGACTGAAATTTTGAAGTTGTTGCTCACATGTTTCTCTGAAACTATGTACATCCCCTCTCACGGTTTGTTTCTTCGCTCTTTCGTTTATTCATCCATTCATTCATTCGATCGATCTTTTTCCATTTTTTTATTCATTCATTTGTTTGTTAATTCATTCATTTATTTATTCCATTCATCCATACATCCATTAATTTCCTAAGCAGCAGATTCCCTAATCGAGACTAATCAGTGGATATCCTATTTTACCTCGACTGACAATCGACACGTTCTGCCACTCTTCACTTCCCTCTTAAACATCGTCTGCTCCTACGATCCAGTTGGCTACGGCTTGCCATACAATTATCTCATGTTCAATGATAGTAGAGAACCGCTTGTTGAGGTCTGCGCGTTTGTGCGTGCGTGCGTGTGTGTGATGTGTGAGTGTGTGTGTGTGTGTGTGTGTGTGTGTGGTGTGGGAGTGTGTGGTTTGTGTGTATGTGATTTGCAATAATATAAACTACTATCGCTACTACAGATAGCTCTGCACGTTCTATGCGTCACTTTAGATAGCGACAACAACAACCTCAATAGCCAATCACCTTCTGACGTCATTTCCGGGTCACACGAGAGAACCAATAGCAGCAGTAATAATGGGGTCACTACCGATAGAAGGCCATCTGGCGAGGTCGGATTAGATTAGTGAATTAATTAGCTCAAAAACAAATTGGGTAATGAATTAATTAGTGAATTAGTTGGAAAGTGACTTTGAAAATAAATTTATTAGTGAATGAATTGATTCAAGGTTCAATTTGGTGGGTCTGACAATCTCTTTGTCAACTATTTGTCGAGAATTCATAGAGAAGATGTGAGTTTTTAGACTTTTCCTTCATTTTTAAAGGCTTAAGTCGTTTGTTGGGTATCAAGTTTTGATGATGAATTCTTTGGAGAAAAATTATTACTCTATCTCTCTCTTTTTCTCTCTTTTTCTTTTTTCATTTCTCTCTCTCTCTCTCTCTCTCTCTCTCTCTCTCTCTCTCTCTCTCTCTCTTTCTATTTTTCTCTGAATGTTTTGTAAAACCGATTTCAGGATTTTTCGTTCATGTTGAAAGGGATAACTCGCCTGTTGAATAACCCACTGCTGCAGACGTATCTGCCCGGCTCGTGCAAGAGGATTCAATTTCATCAGGAGCTATTAGTTTTTCTATGGAAAATTTGTGATATTAATAAGGTTTTCAGTGGTTTTTTCGCTTGTTCGTTTGCTCCTTCATTCGTTTGTTCGTTTGTTCAATCATTTATTCATTCCATCTTTCCTTCATTAGTTTCTTGCTTCATTAGTTCATTTTCGTCATGTGTTTTTTTGCTTTTAGTTGGCTCTGTACTTCGTGGTATACTTTATATAGTATTTAATCGACAGAAAATAAATATTATTTAATGAAGAAAGAAACGAATTAAGAATAGATGGAGTGAACGAACGAACAAAACCTTATTAAAATAAAATAAACAGGATTAATAATTTATCATAATTACATTTTGCCGCACAGAAGTTTATGTTCTACGTACTGAAGAGTAGTGATGTCCTAGATATATTGGTTCCTATTTTGTACTACTTAAATGACGCCAGATCAGATCAATGTACGTTTCTGTGTGTACGTGTGTGTGTGTGTGTCTTCATCATCATTTGCTGCAACATTGTCATCGTTATCATCACCCTCCATATCATCGAAATCAATATCACGGCCATCATTATCATCAACATCATCATCAAAATCGTCGAGAACGTCACCATCATTCTCACCACCATGACAGCGAGAGTTGGGTTGATGCACATTGGTGTGTTCATCTTGCTGTTGTTGAGCGGGGAACGAAACTTCGGGGTGCGACTAAACAAACCCTACACGGTTCGAGTACCCATGGACATCCCTGTTTTCACAGGGTCCCACGCCGATCTACTCATTATTGTTAGTTAGGGATTAGTGAATGTGACGAATGGTGGCTAACTCGATATATTTCTTACAATTCTTTCTTGTGTACTTCTGAAGTTGTGATGAATTTGATGACATGCACAACATTCTACAGGCGAGGATCTCGTTGCATTCGAACTCGGCGGTGCCAGGCGGCTTAACCAATGAATGTTATCATGCGCGACTGATGATGACGACGATGATGGCTTAATATTAACGATGATGATGGTATGATGATATGATGATGATAAAGATATTTATGGTGATGATAATGGTGTTTATGATGATGATGATGATGACGAGGATGTGTTCGTGTAGGTGTTCCATAAGATCATCACATCCGGTCATCAAAGGTTGCAGCCTCTGTTTGACTGCTTACTGACCATCATTGTAAATGGTGAGTCGTAATAGTGGATGGTGATGAAGATGATGATGAGGATTTCTGTGATAGTGATGATGGCTTTGAGCGTTGGTTATGGTGATGAAATTGCGATAATATGGGTGATGCTATTATCATTTTTGTCATCATCATCATCACCCTCATCATCTTCTTTATCATCATCATCATCATCATAGTTTCTCCTTATTTGAAGACATTGTCGATGGTTGCCAGTGCTAAACTCCTGCATCTTCTTGAGGTGATGCTGAAGATGATGTTGATGTTTTTATTATTATTATTATTAATTATTATTATAATAATTATTATATTATATTATAATAATGAACTTAGGCATTTTCAACACCGTGGTTCTTATTTGCCAGCCCGTCAAACCACCATCTCATGTTCTTTCTCCTCGAGGTCTTCAACAACATCATTCAGTATCAGTTTGACGGTCCGCTAGTTCATTCGTGAATTAATGGATGGATGGATGGTTTAATGGATTAATGATTGGATGAATGGACGGATGAATGAATGGGATGAATGAATGGATGAATGTATAAGTAGATAAATATATTTGAAATTATAGATTAACAGAACTGATATAATACACTATACATATATACATGTGTAGATGGATATGCAGATAAAAACGCACACACACACACACACACACACACAAACTGGACAGGCAACTCAAACCTCGTGTACACCATAATAAGAAAGCGTCAGATCTTTCACCAGCTAGCAAGCCTACCGTGTGACCATGCAAGCATAGCTAAAGCCCTAACTAGACTAACCCGAAAACTATCAAAAGGGGGTCCAACAACGTCATCTACGCTAGCAACTAGTACTAGTAACTCTCTCCCCGTCACTAATTTTAGGCAGAATGAGGAGGAGGAGCCTATGGAGGGGTCCAAGCCGGCGGTCACTGCCGAACCAGGGACTCTGCAGACGAGTCTTGCTGCTACACCTGGTTAGAGATTAGAGAAGTGTGTGTACGTGTGAGTGTGCATGTGTGTGTGTGTGCGTTCGTGTGTACGTGTGTGTGTGCATAGAAATTTTAGTTCTTTCATTTTGTGTATGTTAGTTTTCGTATCACTGTTCATATAGTTAGTGGTTAGATGGTTTGGTTTATTTAATAATATTCCAAGTGTTGTTCAGTTAACGTTGTTAATTAAAAGAAGATTTATTTCCAATTTCTAAATTGGATTTACTTTCAAATCATTTACTTTAATTTGCTTTTGCTTCTGTTGTATATACCTACGGATAAGTTATTTATATTAGTTAAGTCATTCAATTTATTTACGCTGATTGTTTCTTTTTTTAGTTTTAGGGTTGTTGTTGTTTAAAATTATTTACTTAAACCATTTTTTTCTTCAACTTCTTTTTTACCATCCATGAAAACACCGACGAGATGCACCGATGATTAGTTAGTTGCTCGACTATTCGACCGAAACCGAAGGCTGGTTACCAAAAAACCCACCATTTTGAAAAAAATCTAATTGTTTGAAATGAGAAACAAACCATTGGAAATATTATAAAACGGTAGGCGATTTATGTATATTCAATACTTCTCTATCGAGATAATGTTCAGTCTCTGGTTCAAATTCAGAAGTTTCAATTGCTATGATTGGAAAAATAAATTTCCCGCTAGCAATAATCAACAATTATTCTTCTGAAATCCGAAAAGTGATTACTTAAACGGAGATCGCCCTTCTCGGCCTTTAAAAATGGCCAGAACCGAATGTCACATTTTGGCCGAGCCAAACATTCGGTGCGTCTCTAATTTTGATCATCAGACATTCATAATAATCTCATATAATACAACATACAACGTACATACAACGACATACATCATACACAGCATGCTCACATACAAGCACACACACACACAAACAAACCATCACACTCACACACACAAACAAACAAGCAAACATGAAAACAAGCAATAACATTTCAGCCATTCGTTCAACCACACGAACATACCAAGCAATCAGTGCAAACGATGGTGAACAAGAGTGTGAACGGTACAACATTAGCAAATTTAAATCTACCAATAATGAACACATCCTCACTTACGAGTGTAATAAATACAACAAACTGATCACGCATTACGACAAAGATTACAATTGTAATAGTAACAATAATACTAAAAATAATTATAGTAGTAATAATAATAATTATAATTATGACGCAAATAATTACGCTGATGATGAAGTGAATGAATTAAAAGTAGCAAAACAATATGTCGGATTCGCAGAGGTAGGGGAGCTAATAAACGTTAACGACGATGAAGATGGTAACGTTAACATTACTGGGGGAAGATCTAGTGATAATAGAGGTAAAACCAAAAATGGGGAGGTTAGGAAATTAGGGAAGAGTCTGATTAGGGATGAAGCGGACGGGTGCGAGAAGGTTCCCCTGTCGAAGTTGGCTAACATGCAGAAAATAACCAAAGTGCCTGGTAGTGTTGTTAAGTCGCAACTCGTTGAAATGATTGGTGAGTTTTTGTTGTTGTTGTTGTAGATGTTGTTGTTGATGATGATGTTGTTGTTGTCGTTGTTGTAGATGATGTTATTGTTATAGTTGTAGATGATGTTGTTGTTCTTGTTGTTGATGACGATGTTGTTGTTGTTGTGGATGTTTTTGTTGTTGATGCTGGTAGTGATGTTGTTGATGTTATTGCTATTGTTGATGGAGTTTTATATCATTAGTCCATGGCCGTACTAAATGTTGATAACGTGTGTGTGCGCGCGTACGTGTGTGTGTTTGTGTGTGTGTTTTGTTGATACGTATTTATGCATTTTAATATTTACTTTCATTTTTACAGGGCGGTTCATTCAAGCTGCGTGTATTTCTAATTAAGCTTTCACTTATTATTGTTGTTGTTGTTGCTGTTGTTGTTGTTGTTGTTATTGTTGTTGTTATTGTTGTTTTTGTTATAAGTTGATAAGTTGAAACGATAACCGATGTACATTGATTGAGTCATTGTATTTAACGAGCTTGTTTGAATTCTTTTTATCATTTAATTTATCAATTTCCGTCCCGTGCATGTGATAGTTTTTCTATGTTTCTATCATTTTCACTATTTAATATTGTTATTAGTTCTTTGTTTTTGTTTTTTCGCAAATATTTTCGTTCACTCCTTAGAAATTTGATCATCTATGTTTTATTCATTTACCGTTTATTTATTTATTAAAAAGCTATTGTTTATCAATCATTGACTATGATCGTATGTGTGCCTCTGTGTGTGTGTGTGTGTGTGTGTGTGTGTGCGTGTACGTGTGAAGAGAAAGAAAGGAGAGAGAGAGAGAGAGAGAGAGATTTATTACTTCAACATCGTCACCATCATGTGTAGGCATAGACAAGATGACAGAGAAGTCAGAGGCTCCCAATATGATAACAGATCAGACCGAAACCAATCCTAACTCGTTTACATCGCTACCAACAACGTCTCAACAGCAACAACAACAACAGTATAGCCTGTCTGATGATTTGTTCGGCAATGATGCTGCTACCACCAGCGGCAACAAGCCACTCACTCGTGACGATAATCAGAATGATGATAACGATGATAGCGATGAGGTTATTCGCGCTGGCGGTGATGATGATGACGGAAGGAAGAGGACGATATCATCATCAGTGAGTAAATTTATTTCGAACACCCCTCTGGTTGGATTAATTCATTTTTTTTTTGACTTTCAGTCGTCGGCAGCGCCAGGAAGTCCCGCGAATTCGACACGCTCATGCGCCACTACTACTAATACCTCGGAAAAGTCCAAATCTTACAAGAAGGGGGGTTCGAGTAGCTGGGTTGCTAGCCCTGAATGGGTTAGAATCGTTGTTGCTACGTTTGAATTGTAAAGAGCTGAAAGAAGTAATGCAAGCATTCATCCAAACAAACATTCATGCATGCACTTACTTATGCACCCCACAAACATGTATGCATTGCGTACACAACACAAGCATACACACACGTACACACACAAGCATACACACTACACACACACGTACACACACAAGCATACACATACACACACAAAGGTACAAAGCTGGAAGCAGAAACTACCTCTACAGACGATAATGAGACTCTTACAAGTCTTAGTGCCACAAGTTGAAAAAATCTGCATTGACAAGTTAGTGCGAGTTCCCTTGAGAGATGATTAATCATTTTCAATTAATCACTTTTAAACCATTTTCACTTTTAAACCATTTTCACTTTTAAACCATTTTCACTTTTAAACACTCCACCTCCACGCAGAGGACTGACAGACGAGTCGGAAATTCTGAAATTTCTTCAACACGGAACATTGGTGGGACTACTTCCGGTTCCCCATCCAATCCTTATCAGGAAATACCAGGCCAACTCCGGAACAACCATGTGGTTTCGGACATACATGTGGGGGATTATTTATCTCAGGTAGGTGGTTGGCTAGATGTGTAGGTCTCGTCACAAGTCAGTGTGATATGCTGACGTGCAAATCTTTAATATTTTTTACCAATGTTATTAATTTTATTGTTAATAATAATAATATTGTTATTATTATTATTAAGAGTATTTATTTATTTATTTATTATTATTATTATTATTATTACTGTTATTATTATTCCATTCGAGAAATGTGAATCCGCCAATCTGGTATGACACGGACATCAAGCTGTTCGAGATTCAAAGGGTCTGATGCAGTTACATCCTAAATTAGATTATAATTTTTTATTATTGTTATTATTATGGTTATTATTATTATTTTTATTGCTGCTGCTGTTGTTGTTGTTGTTGTTGTTGTTTAATTCCACTTTTAAATATTTTTTTATAAGATAATTGCATGTTAAATTGTTAATATACCTATATTTTATAAACTTGTGTATAATTTTTGTTCTTCACTGCATACATACGAACAAGCACATACACATATACTCGGATTTCAAATTGATTAATCTATGCTTCTTATATAAAACATCAAGCTAATTTGAAGGTTGATTGGTAAATAAGTGTGTGTATATGTATTTATGCATGTATGTAAGCATGTATGTATGTATGTTTGTTTGTATGTATGTATGTTTGTATGTATGTACGTATGTATGTTTGTATGTATGTAATTTTCTGCATATCTTAGTTATAATGAAGATTACTTTTTGATTATTGCAATGTTGGAATGCTGTCAAATAAATACATGAATATTTATTTATTATTTAGCTATATTTAAACTTTGGTTTTATAAAAATCACGACATAATTAATTATATATTTCATTTTAAATGAGTAATATTAATATATATATATATATATATATATATATATATATATATATATAATACTGTTCTGTTAATCTCTGTGATTGTGCAAATGAACAAATATCTATTGGTTGATTGATTGATTGATTGATTGATTGATTGATTGATTGATTGATTGATTGATTGATTGATTGATTGATTGATTGATTGATTGATTGATTGATTGATTGATTGATTGATTGATTGATTGATTGATTGATCAATTTTAATCATGAATATTAATTTTAAATCAGTTAATGATCATTTTGTTACAAGTGTGCCAATGCATGATTCCTTCGTTAATTTCGATTTCTTTGTGTTCTTCTTGTTTATTTAAGTAAAAATAAATAATTATAAAATAATAATAATAGTAAATGCGTTGGTTTTTTAATAAATTTTATAATAAAATTTACTTTTAAATAAGTTCAAAATACTTTTTATGAAAGGTATTCGTATACATTAAATGTATATGAATGAATGAATAAATGAATGAATGAACGTAAAATTGAACAAATTTGCTAAAAGAATGAATGAATAAGTGACTGAATGAATGAATGAATAAGTCATTAAGTCTTTAACTAAAGTAATTAAAATATCAAATATCAATTTATCTACATACATATATATTCACACAGATACGCATACACACACATACATACATACACACACACATACATACATACAAACAAAAGTATGTAGAAACACAGACATTGTTAATTTGTGTAACATAACGAATCAAAATGAATTAAGTGTTAAAATGGTCAAATATCCAGTATCAACTCACTAAGGATAGATATCAATGTTTAATGTAATTAAGTTTGTTTACGTGTGTATGTATGTACGTGTGTGTTTACTAATTACGGAATATTGCTTCTATTTAAAATGTTAAAATTTTAATTTTTTTAATTGTTTTTCAATTTGGTAATTAATTTCTTTTATCTGGTATAAATTTTAAAAAATAAAATCGACATTACCGAAAATAATTAAAAATTGAGATTCTTTGCATATTCTCTGCTTCAACCCATAAGAAAGTGTTGTAGCCTATGTTGGTAAATAAACCTTCTATATACGTATGTATGTACGTGTATGTGTGTGCGTATGTGTGTGTGTGTGTGTGTGTATGTATGTATTATTTATAAATTACTGCCTAGAGGACGCAGACAATGTAACTTATGTAAATAATAATCTTTTTAATATTTTGCAATTTTTCAAAACCTATGACCTTCTTTTTCTTCTTCTTCTCTTCTTCTTTTTCTTCTTCTTATTATTATTATTACTATTGTTATTATTTTTCTTATTCCAAAAATCTTCCTTTGGTTTATTCGTAATATATATTTTAGTTAAATCTCAAGTCTTACACAATGCCTAGAGACCACGATTGCCACATGCTTCTTGCATGTATGTGTGTGTGTATGTTTGTATGTGTGTTTGTGTGTGTGTGTTTGTATGTGTACGTGTGTTTTCTTCTTCGGTATTTCTGTTGGATTGGCGCCCGAAAAGTATGAGAGGAACTTAAATTGATCTTAATTGAAATTTTTTTTCATTAGAAATGTTTATACTCGTTCGTTCGTTCACTCGTTCATTCATTCACTCATTCATTGGTTTATTCATTTGTTCATTCATTCATCCGCTTATTCATTAATTCGTTCGATCGTTCGTTCCTTAAATACGTGTTTTATGTTTGAAAAGTTTTCTTGCGTTTCTGTTTATTTTTCAACCTGATTTTTTCAATCAATCAATCAATCAATCACTCAATCAATCAATCACACAATCAACCAATCATTCACTCAATCAATCTGGCATTAAATAAACAATTGACGCATTATTTTGATGTAAAATTGGTGGCAATTTAAGTAAAAAATTTATCAAATTCTCAAAATCTAAACGAAACAATCTAATCTAGTTTTTTTTCTTTCTCTTTCTCTCTCTTTCTCTTGCTTTCTTTCTCTCTATCTATTATGTTTTTCTCACTTAATCAAAATCAACAAACACATTAACTAATATTATTTTAATTGTTTAAAAATAATAGCTTCATGTAATTATTTTATAAAGAAGTTAAAAATAATGTTTATTTAATTTCTCACATGAAGTGTATTAAATCATGATTCGTGGAAGAATTGTGTTTAAAATAACGCCTTCGGCCAGTATAGGGTAATGGTAGAGAATTCGTTTCCTGTACTGCTGTGACCAGGT